TTGGGCATTTGAACTCATTCCCCCTAAATATTTGCTTTTAAAAACGCATTTGACTTGAAACCAAGGCTTGGGGACTTTCAGCCTGAGTATTTACTTGCAAAGGCCTAACTTATAAGGTCAATCATAAAAACCTCATCAAAACAATTTTTTGACAAATAATTCAATAAACCTACATTTTTCTGTAGTTTATTCGTTTCTTTCCACCTCATCTTCTTTCTCACCTTCCCTCTATCTCTCATTTTCCTTTGTGCACCAATCACTCCACCCCACCCCTCCCCTCCCCTCCCCTCCCCTCCCTAGCTCTACACAACCCTTATAGTATTGTTAATTAATGTTGATTTGAATATAATCGAGACAATTATAGACTAATTTTTTTAAAAAAAAGAAATTTATTATAAAGATTATCTATAAAAATTTGAAAATTTTCTCATCAAAGTTAAAAAAAGAAAACATTTTGGAAATTTCCACACGAGACTTTGACAAATGGATACAAAATTAATGGCAACCCACAAAATCTGAAACAGTTGAAACCAGTGGGCGACCCCTCGAAATTGTGCCACTAACAAATAAAAACAATTGAAGACAGAGTCCAAAAGTCAAAGAAACTCCACTAGAAAATAAAACCTTGAGCCACTCTCTAGCAAGATTTGGGTTTTNTGGAGGGGAGAAAAAACAGGAAAAAAAAAAAAAGAACTGTGCCGCTGGAAAATAAAACCTTGAGGCACTCTAGCAAGATTTGGGTTTTTGCCACCCAAAGAAACTGTGAGATTTTGGTAAAATAACGAATGCATTTTTTGATGGACGCTCGAGTTTTTCTTTTGTTTTCTCTGTGTTTCTTCTTTCTTTTTCCGAATCTTTCTCATGCTGCTGTCCAAATCCCTGGAGGGTACGTCGCTCCTTTTGAATGTAGATTAATTCATATATACACTTGTGTTCGTATGTCCATTCAAGAATTCAGATCATGGCTGATTTTTATTTTTATTTTTTGTGGGTTATATCAGAAAAGAATCGGTTCTGAAAATGACCACGGGTACGTCTTCTGTTCCGTTGGATCCAACACGGGTCACACAAATCTCATGGCGTCCCAGGTTCTGTTTTTTTTCTCTTTCGTTTTCACTGTTTACTTTCACCTCACTCCGTATTTGTATGTAGAGTTAAATGTATATATTTATGCGTGCGCGTGCGTGTTGTGTTGACTCCACTGTGTTTGATCAATGATGTTATGATTTTAATGGTGATCGAATTCTACAGGGCTTTTATATACAGGGGATTTTTGACTGATAGGGAGTGTGATCATCTTATTACTCTGGTTAGCTCTTTTTTTCCTTTTCCTATATACCGGCATATTATTAATAATTTGTTGGTCGGTCGTGATTTATCAGATTAAATGAAAAAAAAAGGAAATGTGGGATTTATTTTTTTTTTTTTTGTGGGGGG